AGATTCTGTGAGGAGGAGGACGAAACCTCCATTCACATCCTAACTGAATGTGTAGCAATCCAAGGGCACTATATCTAGGAGGATATCAAATAGAAGAGGGAGATTTACCTAACTTCAAATCCTACACTTCCTTGAGAAAATAGGATTGGAAGAGTCGCTATAGGCATTGAGACATTTCCTTAGTGCAGTGGCGACAGAAGGGGGCACAATAGATCTTTTAGGTTGCAGTGTATTAACACCCCATTCTCAACATAACATAACATAACATAGGCGTAATACTTTGTCCGTATTGTTCTGCTAGAAGATCAGCTATGTAAATTGTTGGTGGTTTATTTCTAGAAAAAAGTAATTAAGAAATTACAGACGAAACAGATTTCTTTAACAACAGGATTCAGAAGTTCTGCTTTAAACATAGCAAATGAAAATCTAATATTCTGATTTGTCAGCCACTCTTGTATTTTAATCTTTGTCCAGCTAGGGGTTTGGTGTTTTATGTAACAATTTACTGTGATATGAAGCATTGTCCATTATGATTAAGGATGGTTCATTGAGTTTTTTCAGTAACTGTTCTTCAAACCATTTAAAAAAATTCTCATTATTCATTTCACCATGATAATCACTTGGCTTACTTTGTGAAGCAAATATAGCCTCTGCTCCTTCAATAAACCCATTTTTATTTTCAATATTGAGTATAATTTACCTATAAATCAAACTTTTGTGGTTTTCACACTTCTTTTATTTTTGTCTTGCCAAGAACGATTTATAGTCTGTAACCTGATACTTGTTATTTTATCTATTTTTTATAGTGTTTTAAGCTCAAATGATTTTGGGAGTGAGTCAGGTTATAAATAACTCGTATTACCTTGAAAAAGAAGTTGGGAACCACTATATTTAAAACTTATTATATTTGACTATAGATTATTGATAAAAATATATAAAATCACTAACCATTAAGATATTATATTTAAACCAAGTTTTAGATAAGGCAGTAACAAATTCTAATTCACAGAGATTTACTTATTCAAATTTAGATAGTTTATTAAAAAAATAGACTTATCTGTTATAACAGGAGGTAGTATACAAGGAGAGATTTGCATAGGCCTTCAAAGGGACTCGAACGATAGCACCAAACTCTTAGGTATAAATCTTCATAAACTATCTAGCTTATATTATTATCATTATTATAATTATTTTTAATTAGTTTAATTAAATAGGTTGAGTGGAAGAGAGGACTTACCCTTGCTTGCAAGGATTAGACCTAACTCTGCCTTTTGGCAAATATTGTATTTTTGTATTTTGCTTATATGTATGTTTTTTTTCTTTGCCAATAAAAGCTTTTATTATTATTATTATTATTATTATTATTATTATTACTATTATTATTATTATTATTATTATTATTATTATTATTATTATTATTATTATTATTATTATTATTATTATTATTATTATTATTATTATTATTATTATTATTATTATTATTATTATTATTATTATTATTATTATTATTATTACTTAAATATCCAGAAATTATCGTACAAGTCATAGTTAAGCTATAAATCAAGTGTTTCGCCAATAAAGAATGACCCTGTATAGAAACAGTCACTGAACCTTTTCCTATAAGTACATATTTTTTCTTTCACTAAAAATGAACATTATAAATAATATACCTACAACCCCTGGAAGTGTGCTAGGCTATGGGCATTTCGCATTAGTAAGATAGAGACAATTGCCAAAGTAAATTAGCCATTTATACAGTGGGTCATAAAACACACCTATTCGAAGGTATGAATGTATTTCTTATTATATTTTATGGAGCTGTGACGCTATTCATATTTTACACCCACATGGATATTATCTATTCTACGCACAGATTACAGAACGGAAAAGTAGGCCATTACCTTCGATTGAACGTTTATATTTCATATCCATTCTATGGTTAGTACTGTACGGATATGAACTCCAACAATCTTATTTTTTAAATTTTAAATAAGTGACAATTCTGTTAAACTAATTGTTAGTATATTTTTAGTTAATGAGATTACCTAAATATTATACAAAATACACAGAAAGAAATAGATTAATGCAGCGGTTTTGCCAGACTAAGTATCGTAATACTTATAGGAGTATTGATAGAGAGTAAGCAATATCTTACTACTATAGTAAATCAGTCAATTAATCCCTATATTTTTTATTTCATTACCGCGGTAGCATACTCGAAAACAAAAATTCTTATAACGCCGACTGAATGACATAACCAGCAGATTCAGTTTTATACAATCTGATATCTATTATCACTCTAAAACGCATTATAATCTCAGTGATCCCGTTTTATATTCCATAACACCCTTTCTGTTGTCATTACCAGAAACATACAGATTTTTGGTGGTGGGGGACCCGCTACGCCACTAACCTATTAATTATTGGCTACAATTTGCAGTCTTTTGCCTTAACGTCGTGTGTGCACGTGTGTTAGTTTTAGTTAGGTATGTGAGCCAGTGTTTTTCTTGTGATCTTGTGTAACATGGAAGCTTATTTAGAGACTATTATTGAGGCAGCAGTTCTTTACACTGACGTCACCACTTTCTGAGCTAAAACAGAAAGTTTTTATGTTATTTTATTTTCTTCTACGCACATGAAAATGTACAGTGTGTCTTTTAAATAGTGAAATAAAAACTTTTTATTTTGTCTCATTAGAAAGTGGTGACATCAGTCTAAGAAATTACTGCCTCAAGAATTTTTTTATTTGCTATCCAGTGATAATATGGTATTTTTAATTACATGAATAATAAAAAGTCATAATTTAATATTATTGGTTGCTGCCAATGTTAAACATTTGTATATTAGGTCATAATTTTTTCACAATAAAATTAGAACATGAAAAGTCCACAAAATTCTCATTCATTTATATGTACTTATTTAAATTTAATATACAGTATGTCCCCTTAGGTTGGAACCTTATGGAAAACATTTTTTATTATTAATTTTAGGGAAAAAAGTTATTCTTCATAAAAAGTTCTGCATTATCTAAAACCTAGAATACAGTCATCAAATATCAAATTTTTTTAGTGGTATACGAGGTTTGTCAAAAAGTATGAGTTTTACTCAAGAGTAAAGTACCTTTATTCTTTATAAGACTGATTAAATTTGATATCTGATGGTTGTATTTTAGGTTTTAGACCATGCTCGACTTTTTATAAAGAATAACTTTTTTCCCATCATTATTTTTTAGGAAAAAAAGTTATTTTTGCATTTTTATGTTTTATAAAAATATAATTATTGTAAAATAAATGTTTTTAGGTAAAATTTTGTATTTTTTTTAATAAACCATATAAAAGGAAATCGAAAGCAAATTTATTGCTCTGCTAGCCAAAATAAGTAAAAAAGTGGCAATTTTAAACATTTTAGTTTATTGTCTAGCGGGCACAACAATGAACAAATTTTAATAATTTTTTAATTATAAGAAGATGGTGGGTTATTATACAATTATATTTCAAAATTTAAGGGCTGCTATAAAAAATTGTATTATCTATCAAATGTACAATTTCTTTATTTCAATCCGTAATTTTTTGATGATAAATCTATGGCAAATTAATGTTCATTCCACAATCTTCTAATAACCAAAAATTTATTTAAATTCGTTTATTCCTGTGCCCGCTATACAATAAACCAAATGCTTAAAATTATCAATTTTTACGTATTTTGGTTAGATTTTAAATATAGTATAATGGCATATCCACTATAAAACTAGTTCATAATAACTATGAGAACATTTTATAAACAGTCGTGTTCTATGATATTATGAGAATATAAGTGAATAATAATCCGTATGACAATAGCTTATAAACTTTAAAGCTAGTTTTATTATCAGTACATTTTTTTACACCTCTCATAGAGTAGTTCACTTATTTTTATGTGGACGATTGTATAATAATAATAAGACGATTTCACTGTCAATAAGTAATGCATTGGTAACCTTTAACAAACCGTGTTGTATTATGTCTATAGTCCGTATACTAACGGTTATGAAAGGTTCTAGCAATTCTTGTTCCATATCAGCAACAGCTCGTTTGGCTGTCCCATATAGTATACAACAGTTAAATAAAGAGTACGAGAATTCTGGTAATGATTAGACCGCATTTCTTTTAGTGTAAGTGATTCTTGTAAATAATCAATAAATAATAGCATCACACAAGATATTCATTAATATTTAGAAATAAATCGTAAATTTAAAGAAACTATCTAAAAGCAATTTAATTTTCAGTTTTAAAAAAAAAATTGAATAAGTATAATTTTTCGATTAAACTAGAATTTTATGTAAATAAAAAATTCACTGGTTTATTCGATCGTTTTTATTGTTTTTGTAAAATTTAAGTACAGGCACTGTTTCACCTTCTAGTGCCAGTCAATATTTAATAAAATTTGTAAAACAAAACGACGGGGTTTCTGTTATTTTATAATTCTTGTAATGGTCCCCATATTTAATTATTGACTGGCACTAGAAGATGGAACATTATTTCCGAAACATATGTAGTGCCTGTATTTAAATTTTATAAAAACAATAAAAACGACCGATTAAACCAGTGAACTTTTTATTTATATCAAAAAAATTGTTACATCTTTAGCGCAGATGTTATTGAATGCCATGAAAAAAAGTCCGAGAATCAAATCCAGGATTGAGGACTAATAGTTTAAAACAAAAATTATCCTAATAATCTCTAAATTCATTTATAAAATTTTTTAAATTTTCGTTAGTGAGTCGTAGAAAAAATATATTTTACATTTTGAATGGATTATCCATATCGCACGGCGTCGTGCTCAAACGTCGTCTTTGTGTGATATGACTCTTATTACACAAACTACTATTTCAAATGGGATACTCACTTGATATTTTAAGTATATTAAAAAAAAGTTAATCCCATCGAATACTTTTTTTCCAACTATACCTTTTTGTAACTTATTTCTGTGTTTGTTCTTACTTTTATTTCTGTTTCGTCCAGGTCTAGACGAGCCAACAGGTACGCAAGTGCCGTCGATGTTCCTAAATTTTATCGGATCTGAGATAGATTGGGGTTATCAGACGGAACCGGAAACACAGGCATGTCTAGGAGAAGTCGGACAAAGATGTTACTGGCCCAGGGGGAAGGTAAGGATAAAATCCTGACAATCCAGATTAGTTTGAATCAAAGAATACCTACCCAAGAAGCGAAACTGAATGAGTTTTCGTATGTACCAAAGCAAGGGAACTTAATACACTGGGAAATGTATAAAAATTAATCAGTTTTAGTTGTTTGGTTCATAAGAATTAAACACAAACTAAATTAACAATGACAGAAAACTCTTACTATGTTCACTATGTCAAATATATTATTTTAATAGGTGACAGTCACTACACAATAGCGAAAGTTGATGACGGTCATTCTGCAAATAGGAAATTTTGAAAACAATTATGGAACAGTGGTGCAAGGACCAATAACTGTCTATCACTCCCAAGAAGACAGAATTAATCCTTTTCACAAGGAAATGATGAAAATGGAATTAAAACCTACAGAGCTTCTAAACACAAAACAAAACTTTTTTTAATTATTGTTTTGTATTATTGTTTATTTACTATTTGAATTCGAATGGTTTAAAAAACAAACAAAAATAACATATTTAAATAAAAGAGTAAGAAATTAAACGATGCATAATACGTGGGTGTAAATTATCATTATAGTAGTTAATACTGATTTGGAAATTAAAAAAAAACTTTGACAGCCAGATGCAAGAACGTTCAATAAAATTTCCGAATAACGCAATGTATTTTTTTTTGTGTAATTTAAATTCTAAAACTAAACTAATTTCTAATTACTACTTAGTTAAATACAACTACTTAACTATACTGCAATTTTCACAAAATGCTAATAATAATATACCAAACGTTGCTCTGGTTGCTCGACATAAATTGACAGCTATATTTGACGTTAAACCACCTCTAAAACACTGAGAAAACTTGGCAGTTTTTTGTCCACGAATGCCCCATTTAGTTTCGCTTCTTGGGTAGGTAATCTTTGGTTTGAATTATCATCCTACCGAACTGTTTGATAAAATTATAAAGGACCCAATCAGAAAAAAGTTTTATTTAATTTTGACTGCACCCGAAGATGGAAAACATGTTTCCGAAACCTATGTAGTGGTGTGCTAAAACAAAAACATGACCGAATGAACCTATAAAATTTGTATTTATATAAACATAAACAGTCAAATTTTGTAACAGAACAGTTAAAACAAAATATGTATACATATTTTTAAATTTTTACAGGACCAAATCTCCTACAAAGATCGTCGATTTGGATTCTAAAAATCCTTATTGATGTCTTTCAAAATTTTCCTGCGCCATTCTCCAAAAATGTATAATATCGACTTATTACTTTTTAAGTGCCGACCACACAATTGTTGTTGGCCGATTCTACTATAACAAAAAGATATTAAAGAATGTCCTGCGGTGAAATCTATATTTACAAAATTGTCCCATATTTGAACCAAACATTTTAAAGAACATTGTTTAAACCTTCATATTGATAACCTACTAGATAGGCAACTATTATTTAGTTAACGTTTTCTACTTTGCGATAATTTTCTACATCTATTTTCTTTCTTATCTTTTATTTCACTTCTTACCAATTTATTTACATTTCCTTTTTTTTATTTATATAATATTTATTTTTAGGTTTTAGGCGGTACATCCGTCATGAACGGAATGATGTACATGCGCGGCTCGAGAAAGGACTACAACGATTGGGCAGCGATGGGCAACGAAGGATGGACCTACAACGAAGTACTACCGCACTTCCTTAAGAGCGAAGACAACAAACAAATGGACCAAGTCGATATCGGTTACCATGCTAAAGGGGGCTTACTTTCTGTGTCGCAGTTTCCTTACCATCCACCGTTATCGAAATCAATATTAAAAGCTGCACAAGAACTTGGTACGTGTCTTAGGTACTTTACTTCAGAACTGCATATTGTACAATCTTTGCCAAATTCGCCAATATTTCAAAAATTTTTAAAACAAGGGATAATTCTTAATCAATTTTGTTGATATTTACTGGATGGAATCAAGCTTTTTATCCGTTATCCCTTTCTTTCAGTACATTTTCAAAAATTTTTATTTTTGACCTTGACATATGGGACGTATATGTCCCACTGGGACATATACATCCCATCGATATAAAAACTAGAAACGGTTTTTGAAATGTTTATTTTCAGGTATGGTACGGTGTAAAACAATTTTTGCACAGGGGCAATTGGCACATCTTGAATAGAGTCGTTGTTTTTTTTTTCTATTTTTTGTTGAGAAAACCTTGCACAACGTCGGCGAGTTTTGCTTTGAACTGGTAGATGCTCGCCAATATTTAGCATATGTCTTGATTTTTCTGATGGTCTAACAATGGATCTTTTTCGAACATGTACTATTGATTTTTCTTTACCAAAAGCAATCATCTCTTCGGAAAGTTGGATTACAAAATCTAGAAATGGTAATTTTTGTCTGTGAAGTTCATTATATATTATCCAGCTATTGACTGCGGCAACCATTAGTAACCTAAAAAAACTTTTTTCCACCATTTACCGGACTTGCGGTCCATGTCATTTATGCCTGACATTTGGTCAGCTAAATCCACTTCACTCATGAAATTATTATAAAATTCTATTGCTTCTGAAAATTGTATATCTTTTCGTATGCCATCTTTGCTTCTTCGTTGAACAACAGTCAAGTTTTTTCCGTGGCAGTTGCTAAGCACTGTAACTTCTTTGTTGTCTTGCCATTTGACACAAATAGTACCATACTTATTTCCAAGAATTTCGGACTCTCCTCTGTTTAACTTTTTTGTCTATTTTTCCTATTTACCATAACAGTTTTAACTGATGGAAATGGAATGTTAGTTATAAGTTTTACAGATGTTAAAAATCTGTTGACTTTATCGTACTGGCTAATTTGTATACAACTCTTTCGCCAAAAGTTCCTTCTTGTTGCTGATCTTCCTTGCTAGCATAAATATTCATGTTCAACCATTGCAAGAATCTTGATTTTTATTGTTTTCTTGTATTTCTTAATTTTGGTCTTCATTTTCTGTGCGATCATCGTTTCTACATTCTCTTTCACTATCTAAAGATTCTCCGTCATCTTCATTTATTTCCCCATCCTCACATGAGTTGAAAGATTCTGTTTCAGTTTCATAATCTTTATCTCTGTCATCATCTATATTTTCATCTTCAGAAACATTTGCCCAATAATTTCTTTTCCTGATAATGATCTCTTCGACATACTGTAACAAAAAAACCACTGGGTTATATACGTCTCACTTGTAAATACCACTGGGATATTTTTGTTTCAGTAGAAAATGGCATGTTATTTTACTTGGTTTTTGAAATAAAATTTACGAATACACATTATGTTTATAATAAATTTATGTTTAAATTTAATTACCTGCTAAAATTTTTATAGAAGAACTGGAAATAACACAAACAACGCAAAAAAGCTTCAAACACGTCTAGCACGCTTATAAACAAGTAAACAAATGACCGGTAAACAACAAGCCACGTTGCAAGAACTTCTCTATTTTCAAGAATATGCTTCAAGAATACCATTTATCAAATAACACATTAAAATTGGGTCATATTTATACCAAATAGAAATTTTAAATTCTCGTCGGGATATATATATAGCCCAAGGAGGTCGAATGGGTTACATCAATATTATTTAATTTGCCCAAGAGCAAGGGTTGGTGGATACTGTCAGTTACACCTTGTACAAATCAGTATCTTTATTGTTGAATTACCATGCTTTTCCTGTATTTAGATAATATATTTGAATGCTCCTGTCTTTTTTGGTAGAGTCTCTACCAAGTTTTCCTAGTTCTAGACCGAAATAATAGGCACTTCTAAAATGTGTGAAAAATTCTGTCATTTATCATTGAACAACAATTTATGTTCTTAAGCATTTGATTGGCTTAATTTTTTTAAGTTACTGCCTATTATCAGTATAAATTGCATCGATCCCATAGCCACCCTATAAAGGTAGGTTAAAGGTAGTAAGTTAGGAACTTTAAGTATTCTACATTTGTAGTAGAATTTCTTTTGATAAAACCATATTGTTGATGTACTTATAATGTATCATTTCAACCTATACTGTTTACCCAGAAAATATCTCTGTTATATTAGAGGGCAGACAATTTAGAAAATATACGAGGTTAATCTAGATTTATTATAGCTCTATAATTTTTATTTTTGACTATCAAATTGTTACGTAGTAATCAGATCCTAACCTCAATTTTTAAAATAGCACCTGTTGTTTAAGTTAATTTTAATTTTTTATCTATTATTTTTATTTTTCGAAAGTTATACATCCGGTAAAACTAATTGAGTACGCTGTTGCAATGGTAATGAAACTACAGTAAATCAAGAGTAACTATATTTTTTACAAAATCATCAACCACCTGAGATATTTACTGGCCGAAAACATCTTCACAATTTTCAAAATCTGATTTAAAAAGTTTCATAATATATTGCTATACAAAAAGTTCATTAAATAAAAGAATTGAATTTTCTGTAAAATACGGTGTAGGTGTAACCACTTTAAACCACATATTATTATAGATTTAAATTACCATTAGGTACTGATCGAATCATTTTAGTTTGGTTTAGTTATATGAGACAGAATTTTTAAAACAAATATTTATTTTATTCTACAAATATTTGGACTCATTTCCAATAATTTTCAATATGAAAGAAATCATATTCCATAATATTTATCATTTGTTTTTATATTTATCTAATTGTTTACTCAAACTTGTTAAATAAAATTAGTCACAAGTTATTTTCCAACGGACTGCGAGTATTATTCAATTATTCTGAAAATATTAACATTATTTCATAATTTGGGGAAAAATATTATACTATTGCTATGCAATGGAAAATTTTAATATGCAGTATAAAGAGATTGCAAACAACTCAATATCCAAAATACTTTCTAGCTGTTCCTGTGATTTTAGAAAGGCATTCGACTGTGTCATTTTTGGCATGTTATTAAAGGAATTAGAGAAATTTCAAATAGACAATTTTTTATAAAGTTCCTATTTTTCTTATCTACTATTTGCAGTATTTTATTGGAATTATTAGTGTTAAAAATAGGTATATTACAGGGGTTTGTTTTGGGCCAATTATTTTTATTATATATTTAAATAGCACTCTAATGCTGACTACATTATTATTTTGGAAATAATTAATATGACCTTATAACATTTATACATCATATCCACAGTATCTATTCAAAATAAACTCAAATATTAGAATTTCCTACACAAATATATTTATGAGTCAACAAATTTAATACTGAAGAATTATCTGCTTTGTAACTCATCTAGTCTTCACTATTAAGCAGTGGCGGCTCGTGGGCACTAGCGGCAGTGGGGCACACACTGGAAAGGAATCCCGGGATTCATTTTTCCCTTAGGAAAACAAGTTCTCCGCTTAATGAAAATTAAATATATTTCAAAACAATCAGTTATGGCAATAACAAATTCTGAATGTGACTACAGGGAGCTAAATGTGACCACTAAAAATGCATTTAACTATGTGGCTATTTAATCAAAAAATCATTACATATCCACTCTTGCGAAATTTGCGTAAATTTCTCAGAAGAATGCAATTTACTTAACAATTCTAACTTGTTAACGCATTTTAAAGCATACGACTCTAAAGAAAAGGTGTTTGGCAATTTAAAATCTCCCAGCGAAAAATTTCTCTTTTATATTTTAAAATTAGAAAAAATATTTATACCTCTATTTGATAGTTTGTCAACTAAGCCTGGAATTTCATACCTTTTTTAGATGAGCAAAATAGAATTTGGTCAACCTTGCCAACAATTTGCGAAAATGTACCCCATTAAATTATTTATAAGACTCAGAATTTTTAATACTTTTAAATATAAAAACAGAGATTTGAAATCCTCGAAAAAGTCAGACAAAACCAAAAGAAAAATTAAAATTTTGTCCCATTTATAAATATTATTGGTTTTTTTTTTCATCATATTTTTGACTGCTTTATAAAAAAAACATATTTTTCTTTGTAGTTTTATTTCTTAACTGTTCCAATGGTCCAACTAACGTTTTTTTCGTAATCAATAAATAAATTATTATCATCGTCCAATAAACTCGCTCTTTAAGCCGAAACCGGCATCGCCTTTGTGAGGGAGCCGGTAAAGATGCCGCTGCGTACATTTGTATCTGGTCTAGGTTCTGTGTCATGGGTACAGCACGTCACGATAAGGATAGCACTCCGCTTGTGACGTATAATCCTACACATGTGTTCATCTCTTGCTAACCGATATTGTCGTTGTCCTTGTTTTTCGCATCATAATGAGAAAGACAACAACAGCGGCACATTTTTACTGTGTCCTGTGCCCATCTTCAACTTAATTTAAGAATTCTCGGAACGTCGCTCAACGCCCGGCCGTCCAGTGTCGTGCCAACGCGGTTCGCGCTGAATATTAGATAAAATAATAATAGGCATTGAGGAAAATATAAAATACGTAAGTTATTTTTTTTCTTAGTTTATTATACTAGAGCACGTGCCCAAGTGCCCTTACGGAAAAACCGCCACTGCTATTAAGTATTAAAAATTTTTTCAACAATATTTTTACTATAAGTAACACTGAATATAAATTTGAATCCCTTGATTACAGGTTATCCCATTAGAGACCTAAATGGAAGATATCACACAGGATTCAACATTGCTCAAACGACCAACAAAAATGGATCGAGGATGAGTACTGCCAAAGCGTTTCTCAGACCCTTCAAAAATAGACAGAACCTGCATATTTTATTAAATTCAACTGTCACAAAGGTGTTGATTAATACCACAACAAAACAAGCTTATGGCGTTGAAGTTTTAAGAGAAGGGAAAAAGAGTACTATTTACGCCATTAAAGAGGTGATTTTATCAGGTGGTAAGTAATTATTGATATCTAAACGCCCTGTAGATGATATTCAAATCGAAAAAAAAAAAATGTATTCTGTGGCCAGTTTAAAAATCTACGAAAATAATTGAAAATTTACAAATTTACAGTGAACAAAAATAAAATTTATTGAAACCACTGCTCTGCTCTGCCCTCTCCTATTCATCTGGTTTGTTTCTTCGATATTGCTTTCCCGTTCTGGTTCTCCGCTTCTGATCGGCTCAGTTTCCTGCTATACAGTATTCACCTTCGGCTTTTTCTCAATTTTATTTTTTTTTTACCTTTCTTTATTTCGTGATTTCCAGATTATAATTATTTTAACAATAAGCATATTGGGACCTAAGCCCCAAAAAGACCCTATAACCTCTCTGTATCGGTACCGTGTGGGGGTAGGTTAACCCACGGAACTTAGGTCTTACTATGACCATTCTGCATCCTCCTATCTCGTGAACCAGCCCACAGATTTAATGTAGTACTTTTCTTATATCGGCTGGTGTTAGCCAATTCTCACCGAATACTAATCTTTTCTGAGAACATCTGGCAATCGTAAAGGATATGCTCTATGATGTCATCTTCTTATTCGCACCCCTTGTTGTGCTGATTTTGATAATGTGTGTGATCTTATCCAGTCATAGTCAAGTATTTTGTTTGCTGTAGTGTTGCCAGGATAACTTAAAAGCTCCCTGACGCGTGTGTAGCTTCTTGTTTCATCTCATCTTTTCTTGAATTTCACAAGGGAATGTTCTTTAATAATTAGGTTTATCAGTCCAGTAGAATAGTTAGATCAAAAAGTATTTGGTTGGCTGTCTTCTTGGCTAGTGAGTTTCTATGTGGCGTGACCTTTGATCCATTTTAAGGTAAACACATTTTTTATGGATACTTCGGCCAAAGCTTCGTAACATTCTAGTACCAACCTTGAGTAAATTCGTTGTCTGTCCAAGGTGAGTAGTGCTTGTCTGCTATCTCTATAGATGTCCAGTGTTTTGTTTCTGGTGATTTCTTTTGCCACTATGAGAATCACTGAAGCTCGGTTTAAACTACACTGGCACTATTACTCACAGTCCATTTTATTTAGGGATATAAGTATCTAGAGTATGTTCCACATTCTGAGCCTTCTTTTGTTTTAGAACCATCGGTATAGATACAAATCGTACCTGCCACTTCTCACTCTTCTATTTGTTTGGTTATAACTTTATATTGCTTATGGAAGATATATCTCGGTGAGATGGACTCCATGTTCGCTTGAAGCAGTGGGAGCGCCTTCTGCTAAAAGCAACGTCTCGCATTACTTGATCCTACATTCAAGCATGCGGATTCGTGTCATTGTCATCAACCTCCTTGATGTAGATATCAAGGGGAGTAAGACTTAGAATGACTTTCATAGCTTTAGTTGGAGTGGTTTTCATGGCTCCTCTTATGTTGAAATATTACTGTTCTTTGAACTTCTAGTTTGCGGATAGCTTTAATTGTTGGGTTTTCGTTGCCCAGGTCTTTGGGGGAGAAACTCCTGGTAAGTTCCACGGTTCGGCGGTATTGTTCATAAGCGATGTGTGCTCTTTTGACTTTGTTTTTTAGGTGTGATTTCAATGTTAACTTGGTGTTAAAGGTGATACCTAAGTACTTCACCTATGTTGCAAAGTTTAGTTTTGTATTTAGGAGTCCTGGAGGTTTTAGTAATTATTAAGGCGGTTGATGAGGATGTCGAGAATCATGGTGGTGACAGTACTTCTCCCTGTGGAAATCCCCGCGCAAGCAAGCTTCTTATATTCACATATTCTATACTTATGTTAACTGCTTGCTTTTGAGAGCATGTTATGTATCCACTCACTAACTATCTGTGGAATATTCATGTTATTTAGTAAGTGTATTATCTATTTGTATGAAAACACCCAAGGTGAACTCCTTATTGTATAGGGATCTATCTATGCGGCCAGCAACTTGGTGAAGGGTTTAATTAGTAGATCTGCCTTGGATGTATGTATGTTAATTTAAGTGTAGTGGTATTGTAATCATCACTACATAATTTACGTTTTTAACATCATTCCTATATAATATCTAGTTTTATTATTAAGGCAAAATCGTCAAATAGACTACTATCCTCGTCCTGTTTGAAACAATGTCATGCTCTAGTCGTGTATTTTAAAGTAATGTGCAACGTGGTACAATAAATTTTATCATAAGTCAAATGGCGACCAAGACAAGTCTATATCGACATGGTCAACGTGGACTAGAACAACTGCAGTCTTGAGTTCACGTTTAACAAGCATTTTGTATTCTTATTGATAAATATGTTAAATCATTGAGCGGTGTTGGATAATTATTTAGAGTGCAGATTTATTAGAAATTGTTTCGGAATAAACAACACAATATCGAAGACCATTTATAAGTGATGTTTTAATTGAAAATAATGTACATGATGACAATTTTTTGTTTGATTACCTCTGTAAGATTTTAGAGTCAACGTACTGTCAAATATCGAAATATCTTCAGAAATATTAAAAACATATAATAAGTATTTTCAGTCCCTTGACTGCTCGTCTACTAATAATAAAGCTGCATTCCATTATATAGATTGCTTGAACTATATACCCACCATCTACATTTTTGTAATGTTCTTTTATTTAGGTGCTATTAACTCGCCACAAATTCTGCTTCTCTCCGGCATTGGTCCCAGTGAAGAGCTGAAGAAGGTGAAAATTCCAGTGATCCATGATTTGCCAGGTGTTGGCAAGAATCTTCAGAACCATGTTGCGTATGCTGTAAATTTTTTCATCAACGACACAAATACTGCTCCCTTAAATTGGGCCACTGCTATGGAATACCTGCTCTTTAGAGATGGACTTATGAGTGGAACAGGTAAGCCATTTTTAAAAACATTTAATGATGTAAAGAATATTTATATTTGTCAGAATAACAGGTTTCATTAGTTTGGTAGTTTGGCAGGTACATGATATTAAAAATTGATTGATAATCTCCAATATCGAGATCAATAAAACAGTAGTATAGGCACATACTTTGATTTTATTTTACTATACAGAGAATGGTCGCACTGCGCAGCTTTCTGAGTGCCTTTTAAAAGGAGATAGAAAACTCCTCCTTTGTGATCCCTTATTACGTGTTGCCTACATCTTGGCGCAATATTTTTAATAGGTGCGTTTTAATCATCCGCTTCTGCTTCGGAATTGTCGGTTTTCTTGTTTTAATCTGACAGGTTAAAACGACTAAACCGACAATTGTGGAAACAGAAGCGGATGATTAAAACGCCCCTAATACCTTGCTTGATGTTGTTAGTGTCAGTGAATATTATTTTTGGAGTCACAGTTTATTGCTAAAGAATCAGTTAGCTCACTCGGACCAGTTGAAAGTTCCAAAATAACATCCACTCCAGGGATACAAATTCAGGATACGCAGAAGACTGCTGTTTTATTATAGGCGGTTGTCATATATTGTATTATCCGAGTTGCGCAGTGTATAAACTGGAACATTGAGATTAAAAGTGCCGACGCAGAGTGAGCGACCTGATTCTTTAGCTATAAACAGTGGCATAGGAATCAAAATGGCCGCGCCCTATGTTGGGCATGTCGGACCTCTCTCTTACACCGTATAGTAATCAAAGTATGTGAGTATAGGACATACCGTACGGCCACCATGATTTCTAGATTTATTTCCATTAGATTTTTTAACGATAATTGATAATGAGATATTTGTTCAACAAATTTAGAATTAGGAAGGATATTTTTGTATTGATTCGTCAGATACCTTTTATAAGGAAATATAGTAAATATACTATAATATTTTTTTTTAAATAATATTTTATTTTATGAATTAGTAAAAGGTTTTAAATAATTGTTTGTGCTATTTTTAAAATGTATCCTATAAGGAAAAATCGTATTTTCCTTTTTAAGAAAAACTAATTAAAATTTGGAAAGGTGACCCCAGAAAATTAACCTTTACCTACCTAAATATTTTTGTTTTGTTAAGAATAAAAAATAAACTTTAAAAGTGGGGTCTTACCAAAAATTTGCATAGATATATTTCGTATTTTTTTTATTTTAAAGTATTTATTTGAAAGGTCATCGAAAATGTATACTGTTCATCAACTCTTTATTGAATAAACTAGTGTTACGCTCCCGTTTTCTTTACTAACAAAAAATTAATATTATTTTTATTAATACAGGCATCTCCGAAGTGACTGGCTTTGTCAACACAAAATACCAAGATCCAATGGAAGAACATCCTGATATCCAGTTCATTTTTGGGGGATTTTTAGCAAATTGTGCCAGATCCGGACAAGTTGGAGAAAAAGTAGACAATAATTCCAGGTCGATACAATTTATTCCCACTTTACTGCATCCAAAAAGCAGGGGTGAGTAGTACATGCGTTGATATGTTGAAATGTTCTTAACATTCCTTAGACTAGGATGACTATTATATCGTTATAACAAAATAAATAGACCTTTTCATCAAGTGATGAGCGCAAGTGCAGCCGCCATGTTGAAATAGCGCCAATTCAAAAGTTTCGTACTGTTTTGATCAACAATGACTGGAAAAGCAATATTATCTCCACATACAAATCAATCATTAGAAAAAATCGTTGATGGTGATTTACATTTTTATAACTCTGTGGAAGCACATAGTTTTGAGCAATTAAAAAGGTTCTTGAAGTGACGTGGACGTTCGGGATAAGGAAAAAAAGTGTGATTGAGAGGTTAGGTTTTAATACTAACTGTGTAAAAAATTAATAAAATCAAATAATAATTATATTAATTATGCCAACCAACTACTAATAATTGCAAAAACACTTTAACATGAAAGTTAATCACGAGTATAATTAATTAATAAGATAAATTATTTAAAATTTTATGGATCAACATGACATTTTTAATAATATAACTATGTATACCGAAGTAGTATTTAATATTAAAAAATATTGTGTAATACTAGATAAGGATTTTCTTCTGTTGAACCACTTTCTCCATGAAAATGTAGTGAACAAATATAAGTATCTTTAATACCTAACATCATCCATCAATCGATCGAAAACCTTTGTCACTTCGACCACATTTTTTCACTCATAATGCTCATTTTGAACTTGTTTTAATATGTATTTTGCCTAATTTGATAGTTGTTTACGATATTGCAGGCAAGTCTTTTTATAAAATATTAATTTATACCGTGTGTCACTTTTACATACTCATAACAATACCGTTTAGTTTTTCGTTTCCGTATTGATAACAATTAATTGATTACAAAAATTGATTTTTCAATTAAGACACTTATTACTTTACTTTTTTATCCCATTTTTTTAAACGAATATACTTAAAATTAATATATTTATCGATTATAATTTTTTTCATGTGGACATTTTAACATGCTTGTTAACAAAAAACAGTACGAAAAAGATGGCTGATATTGATGCATGCGCACAAAAAAAAATGTGATGAAAAGGCCTATAGAAAAACCGTAAGTGGCAAATACGATTCATATCTACACTAAGTGTTCTGAAACAAAACACGGATCAGGATGTGTAATATACTCCTGATCCTTAAACTTAAACGTAAAATGAGCTGTAAACAATAGTGCCAGTATAAATGAAACATTCAAACTGATCTCACGAGGTTCGCATAGCCAATAAAGAAATTAACAGAAACAATATCAATGGATGAAACATGTTCATCTATACAAATAACAGAAATGCACTACTTACCTTGGACAAACCACGCATTTACTGGAGGGGTTAGTACTAGTATGTCACGAAGCTTTGGTCGAAATATCAACAATGTGATTACCTTAAGGAAAGTCAAAGGTCATTCCATATCAAATGATCTTGCCTAACGAAGAAAGCAGCTAACCAAATACTTGTTGGACTTGGTACTTCTATTGGACTAACAAAATCGGCAGTGACAAACCTAATTAAAGAACTTTTCCTCGTGAAATTCAGGAAAAGTGGAATGGAACAAGAAGCTGCAGAGTTACCAGAAAGTTCTTAAGTTACCATAACTGCACCACGGCAAACAAATAGTTGAATATGACTAGAAAAAATATTTCTCTGATTATAGACACTCTGACTGATCATTGCAAAGTACGAAAGCATCTCCATAGCATAAAGCTGTCAGAATTCGCACACTGTATGAGATGCGAACGAGAAGATGGGACTATCGAGCATATCCACTACGTCTACCTGACGCTCTTATTTATTAGATTTGTGTTCGGCGAGTTTTAGCCAGCAGATATAAGAGAAGCACCTCTCGGCGACGTTGTCAACTACATCAAATCTGTTGACGAACTAAGAGAGTCCTATCAATTTGAGAGGATTAAAGTAGACCTTGTGAGGCCTGAGTTATAGATAAATAGATACAGATAGACCTACTATAGAAAATATTAGTAACTTTCTTTTTGTTTCATTCTTACACCTTATTTTTTTTTTGTTAGATTCTTGAGTTTTAGGTGTCGACTGTTTGTATAAAGAACAACATTCTTCAAAATAAAAATACTGACATTGCTAATATAAAACTAGAAAAAGACACCTCACATTTGTGCTTAAGGCAACCTCAAAATTCATATAAAAAAATAAAAATGGGCACTTATAAAAAAATACAGTCAAAACAATGTATAAATAAAAATTTTAATAAACAATACTGAAGACGGCACTAATCAGTGCCGAAAGCTATAATTATCAATAAATCAAAACTCTCTCTCTCTCTCTTTTAAAATACATTTCTATAAATACTACAGTCGGCACCTAAAACCCAAGAATCTACCAAAAAAATTATAGAAAATTATATTATATTTTAACTTCTTTATTATTTGTTTTAGGTTCCATTCGACTAAAAGACTTCAATCCTCTAAGTCATCCAACAATTTATGGAAATTACTTTTCAAATCCTGAAGACGTCAAAGTGCTCATAGAAGGAATTAAAGTAGCCTTGAGGTTATCAGAGACTAAAGGTATTTTTTTAATTTTGTGACATCGGCATGAACTACTTAGGTCATTAACCTCGTGTTCTCTTTAGGCTTTATTACTGTTTTGAGCAATAAAAAACATTAATTTGGATGTACTCTAGAGGAAAAAACTCTCCTCTAAAATAAAATATGTGACAAAATTCAAAAGTTTAAAGAAAAACTTTATTAGTTACAAAACAAAGTGATTTTACTATGTGATTGGTGATTTATTTAAATTAGTTTTTTCTTTTATTCTTTTTCCATTTCAGACATCAAATAATTTTTTCTGGCAGTGTCTTTATCTCTATCAAAGTTTTCCTAGTTTTAATTTCGACTTCTTCAATCTGATCAATCCATTTCCTCCTGGACCTTCCTCCCTGTTATTTCTTCATTTTCACATTTCCATTACTTATCTCTCTGGTATCATTCTAAATAGTTTAATAATTATTGTTTGCCATTATTGGTTCCTGTTTATTTGGCCAAGTTTTTCTCGCTTTTTTCTCAAATGTTTCATTTTCATACATTTGTTTTTGATACTTGGGGTATTATGCACTAGAACGAAATGAGAAAAGAGTACAGTTTTGTGAAAAACTTCAAAACCACAGAGCTGTGCTGCAGAATAGAGCCAAAAATACATCGTGCTTGCAACTGAAAGACATGCCATTCTGTGGTATACGGATAGTTCTAAAACCATAGAAGAAACTGGAATAGAAGTGTACGGTCCTAGAACCAGGCACTCTGAAAGTTTGGGTAAATATCTAAACATCTTCTAGGCAAAAATTTACACCATTAAGAAGTGTATCTAGTTCAACATCAAGAAAATCTATCACAAACAAGAGATTATCTTCATGTCCGATAGCCAAGCAGCCATAAAAACGCTGAGCTTTAACGTAATCAGCTCTAGAATGGTCTGAAGGTGCCTAAAAAAACAGAATGAGCTAGTTGAGAAAAGTTCAGTTACTCTCACTTGGGTCTCGAGACATAACGGGATAAAGCGTACCGAGATTGCAAGGAAAGGGGCTCAAACACCCTTTGTGGGACCTGAGCCGTTATGCGGTATCAGCAGTTACACAATATTAATAGAGATTAAAAAAGAATTAAACAATAGAAGAACCGATAATTGGAACAGTCTCTAGGGATTAAGACAGGCTTAGGTCCATTTGGGTGAATATAACCAGAGAGCCTGCATCGGCCTTAGCAAAAACAGGCTGCGCATTGTAAGAGGGATCCTTACCGGGAATTGCCGACTTAAAGGCCACCTTAGTTAACTGAGCGTGGTAAAGGATTGTGAGTGCAGATATGAATCCTTCGATCACATTTTTCCTAAATGTAAGCACTGTAGGATTCAAGGGCACTATACTTAGGAGTATATCAAATAGAAGAGGTCTATCTACCTAATTTAAAGCCACTCCAAATCGCACAATTACGTGAGAAGATAGGATTGGAGACTATTCGAGACTATTTCCTCGATGCCTAAGGAATAGAAAGGGACACAATATATATTTTAGGTCACAGTACAATAATACCTCATACCCAGCATACCATAACATACACATGAGTCATAATAGATCCAACTTGGTCGCAGTGGATGGCAATGGAATCATCCCACTCATTTTTAACCTAACCTAACCTAGGTACTCTTTACTTTTTCATAGGTTGTTCCTCTTTCTAGTATTATGTCATTACATTTTAAGTCTGTTTTCATATTTCTGTTTTTCGTTTACTACTTTCACTTTTATTTTATCTGTGTGCGTGTGTGTAAGAGGAAGAAGGAAGACATTAGATACACTTTTGGCCTGAGGTAATTAATAATAATAATAATTATTATTTATGTATCTAAGATTATTTGATACTCTTTTAGAAAGTTTATGATCGTTCATATTTCTAGAGTTGTGGCTTAGGGCTTAGTATGTGTACGATATGTATTGGGAAGAGAATATATAATTTATATCTATATTTACTTCCTTTGTCATATTTTCTATTTCCCTTGTTTGATATTTTCTGCATATTACTCGTATTTAAATTACAAAATCCTAATAAAGAACACGTACTCTCCAAACTTAATAAATTTATTTTGTTTTTCACTGTATAGACGTTTTAGAACTTTCTATTGTTTCATCCTCAATATACACTTACCGGCACGAAAAACGGACACCTCGATAATTTTTGATAAAAATGCATTAATTTTTTTTTAATTCGGTGTTAATCGTTTGGCCAACAAAGAACACGGTTTAGTAGAATACCCTGAAGATTTTTTAACACGAAATGTCTTCTTAACTTAAATATATTGCAGATATTGTAAGAAAATCCCAATATTGCCCTTATTTCAGTGTTCCAAGTAGGCTATGCATTTTCAGTAATTTGCACGATAACATTAAGGGTTAAGTCAAGTATTTATTATGTTCTATAATTTATTACTTGATTATGTCAATTAGTGCGAATTTTAAGATGTCTTTAAGCTCGCAGAAACTGTTGCAAATATTGTTGCTCTTATTCAAGACGGAAGAAGTCAAATGTACGTGTCTTACAGATTCGGAGTATCACGCGGTACCTTGCAACGTGTATTTTTACGTTTTATAAAGACGGGAGTTTACACTTGACGTCCTGGAACCGGTCCCCAAAGAAGAACTACGAGATAACCGTTTTATGCTGTAGAGATTATAAATAACCTTGAAAATGTCAGGAACGAAGTGAACGAATAGTTAGGAGAAGGTTGAATGAAGTTAATCTGAGATCTCGAAGACCCACTATAGGAGCAGAACTTTCCTGGATTTATCGAGTAGCAAGATTACAATTCGCTAGGGATCATCAAAATTGGAATGCAGACGACAGGAGCTCTGTGTTGTTTACAGTGAATCCAGATTTTTCTTACGATCCCCAGATGGCCGCGAAAGAGTCTGGAGAAGAGAAGGCGAACGATATGCCGAGTGCACTTTTAGCCCTAGGGCAACTTTTCAAGGGGGTTCAGTCATGGTGTGGGCTGGAATATCTTCGGAGGCGCGTACAGAATTGTTCATGGCCCCTTGGAGATCTGTGACTGCGGATATGTACATTAATAAGATCCTATAAGATTATTTTGTCCCATATGCACCGTTTATTGGTGACAACTTCATACCAATGCATGACATTGTACGCCCTCATGCCATCTGCATTCTCACGGAATATTTCAACGAAGTTGGTATTACCCAAATGACATGGCCAGCGCGCAGTCCCGGTCCAAATCTCATTGAGCATGTAGGTAGCATTGGAAACTGGATACTTGTTTCTCTTACGAGTACTTTGGATTAGCTCAGATTGTCTCTTTTAGAGGAATGGGAAGCAATTCCACAAAATGAAGTATTCAACTTATTAACAGTATTCCTAGAAGAATGAATGACGTTATACAGGCTTGTGGAGGTAATACGAGGTATTAATTAGATAGACAAGTAATAAATACTGTTTTTTTTTAATTGTTTTTGTGTTTCTGATGATAATTGTGTAAATATTAATACATTTCTTTTCTTTGTGTCAATGTTAACAGACATGATTCTCTTATTATAGAAGCTTTCCGAAAACATTTCTTGAAAAGAGTACACTTTAATAACATGTATGAATCCGTGTCTATGGTTAACAAAAGTTACAATAAAAAAACATATAAAATTTAGACATTTTAAACAAAAATTATAGGGGTGCCGGTTTTCGTGCCGGTGAGTGTAGTTGTTGGGTTATAATTAACGATGTTGTTTCTAATTTAAATAAATGGTAGTTCTGTTTAATACCGTGTGAATCAGAAGTATTACCCTGTTTAATTTAATAATTAAAACAAAGAAAAAACAGTCGTATGCCTGCCTTTTCATCCCCTCCACCTGACAGTAATATTTTAAATAACAAGAGTTACTTCACTAAGACTTCATTGAAAATATAATGTTATGAGGACTACAGCAATGTAACTGTTGATTGTATTACTTTTAATTTTAGCGGCCTCAAGTGAAATAAAAAATGTGATCTATTATAAAGTGTGTCACTTCATTTGAAAATTTTGACCTAAAATTAAAAATCTGATGTGTCCAACACATGACTTTCCTATCTAGTTATTATAGGCTTTTTCCGGTTATTTTGTACAACCTATTGCAGCATCTGTTTAAATGTTTAGAGGATAAACTAAATATATAGATAGTCCACATACATCTACCTCGAAACATTTTTCTATAGATATTCATTGAAAACGAAAATACTGAAAAATTTAAATTTAGCACTTTTCCATTACGGTCCAATTTAGAAAAATCATGTATAAACAAAAATTATAGAGATCGATATCGCAAACAACTTTTAGTTCAACAATTTTCATAAAAATTAGAATTTTGTACATTTTGTCAAATTTCTCGAATACGGACCATTTAAGGAAATTTTGACATTTGGCAAAAATTATAGATAATAATATTAGAAGTAACTTTTATTAAAACAATTTTCTTCTCCAAACATAAATAACAGATATATTCCATAAAATACATATAATATAGTTATGCGCCATTCAGACACACACAGACGCACACACACACGCACACACGCTCACACAGACACACACAGACACACACACATACACACACATACACACACATACACACACACACACACACACACACACACACACACACACACACACACACACACACACACACACACAGACACACACACAGACACACACAGACACACACAGACACACACAGACACACACAGACACACACACACACACACACACACACACACACACACACACACACACACACACACACACACACACACACACACACACACACACACACACAGACACACAGACACACACACAGACACACAGACACACACACAGACACACACACAGACACACAGACACACAGACACACAGACACACAGACACACACACAGACACAGACACACACACACACACACACACACACACACACACACACACAGACACACACACACACACAGACACACAGACACACACACAGACACACAGACACACACACAGACACACAGACACACAGACACACAGACACACAGACACACAGACACACAGACACACAGACACACAGACACACAGACACACACACAGACACACACACAGACACACATACACAGACACACACACACAGACATCATCGCGAAAATAGTCAATACGGATTCAGGGGACCTCAAAACGTAAAAATCCGTCGAAAACTCGAGGTCGAAAAAAATCATGATTCCTATACTTTCCTTATATCTGTATACAGATAGGAAAGTAAAAAGGTATTGAAGCAATACTGATCTAAATCGTCTTGCTATTTCAAAATTTATATCTCCTTTATTTTAACTTTATTATTTCTCCCAATTTCCAAAATTATTTAACCTTTGAAACACTAATTGAAACTATTCGACTAATCTCACAAATACACCTTTCATAACTTGGCATTAATTTCGAGAATTTTTAACCTTTTATTTAATTAACGGAGTTTACAGGAGTAGTAATTATCTGTGGCAAATAGTTTATCCAATGCCATCCTTTCTTCCTTCACACACACACATACAGGAGTAGTAACAATCTAATTTCTTACGGTTTATATTCCATTGCAGCTTTAAGACGATACAGTATCCAGCTAGATAGGACTCCAGTAGCAGGATGCGAAAAAATATCCTTTGGATCGGACAACTACTGGGAGTGCGCCATAAAAAGGCAAACGGCACCCGAAAACCATCAGTGCGGGTCTTGTAAAATGGGTCCTCCAACTGATCCATTAGCAGTTGTCAATCCATCTTTGCAGGTATGAAAATTCACGTTTTCGTTGTTAGATGATTTACAAAATACAATTTGAAGCAAACAAATTTTAATATGTCCTTGTTTAAAAAGAACAGTCCTTTTTTGAAGCAAAATGTCCTCGTGACTTTTTAAAGCTTAAAATGTCCTTTTTACGGCAAATGTCCTCTTTTTCGACAAATGTCGTTTTATACGACAAATGTCTTTTTATACAAGAAATGTCTTTTTATACGACAAATGTCTTTTTATACGAGAAATGTCTTTTTATACGACAAATGTCTTTTTATACGAGAAATGTCTTTTTATACGACAAATGTCTTTTTTAACGACAAATGTCTTTTTATACGAAAAATTTCTTTTTCTACGACAAATGTCTTTTTTGAGTGACAGCACAACATATTTTAGAAGGGACATGGTTTGTACAAATGTATAAGCAGAGGAATTTTTTTTTTTAGAAGCTCGTCATGACGAGGAGGTTTGAGGAGGTTTTTTTTTGTTCAGCTCGCGATCTGTTTTTTTTTAGATATTCACTAAAAGGATGATGACTTTTTGTATACTCTGGTCAGCATCGTAGTCCTTTTTTCACTTTTCAAAAAGGTGGCAATCCTATGTGGCTGCCACTACTAAACTGTTTCTACTGGAACCAAATTTAATCTTGAGATCGATAACCAACCCAAAGTTTTTGAAATTGATAGGTATGGCTCAAAAGGTTCTCAGCGAATATCATCCAATTATGCTCAAAATATGGTCAACTTGATATCTTTCAGATTGTTTTCTTTGTTAGTATCTAAGATCTGGTGATACACAAGCTCATTGATCAATAATACTAACCTGTCTAATCTTTCGAATAACTTACAGGTTCACGGAGTAGACAGGCTGCGAGTGATGGACGCGAGCATTATGCCAAAAGTGACGTCTGGAAATACGAACGCCCCGTGCATTATGATCGCAGAAAAGGGTTCGGACTTGATAAAGTCGAGATGGTTGACTGCGGAATCCGGTTATTATTACTCTAACATACCCAATCAAAGAATAAATAGACAATGGGGGTCGTGGTAGAAGAATTTTGTAAATATTTACATAGAAATTTTTAATTTATGTTAGCTTTAAGATACTTGGATAAATATCGCGTTTTCATAGGAATGTCAAGTGATAATTTTGAAATTTGTTTGTATATAATACAGAAAATTAAGTTTTTAAATTGAATTTTTTTTTATTCAAATACCACGCACTTCATTTAGTGTATCTAATAAGGAAAAAAATTGGTATAATCCTAGATGAGACGTGACTTGACAAGTCACGTTACCGTCTTCACCGAGAGAAGCTTTAAAAAAGCAATAATTCCTTTTTGATCATTCTTACAGCTCTTTTCAAGAGAAGCCAATAGAATGCAGTACTGTGTAAACATATATGTTTTATAAAAAGGTTTAAACTATATTGGAAGAAATTGTACAACATGCAAACTACAAACAAGAGACCGATTTCTTCTAGGTAAAAACCGAAGATTTGTCCCATCTATGAATACTATAAAGAAGGAGGCAAATCAAAAATAGTAAAATGGAAAACAAATCTATAAACACAAATCTTTTTATTTTTAAGAATCAAGCATTTAAAACATTAGGTTCTACCTTATATACAATTGGACACAATTTTTACTAACTTCCATAAAGCATTTGATCGTGTTGACCATGGCATCTTATTAGGAAAGATGGCCCGATATGGATTGAGGACAAATTTTTTAGTATTAATAAAAAGTTATTTAGAGAATAGAAAGTTTATTGTAAGGTATATTGGAAATGTCTAAGGGAAATTTTTTGCAAATTTGGGAGTGCCACAAGGTTTATACTTAGGACCTCTGTTGCTTGTTATTTTTATTAAGGATCTACCTTTAATACTTGGTCATTGTCAATGTGTATTTTTTGCTGGTGACCTTAAAGTGTATAAAAAGGTATAGTCGGTTAGAGATTGTGTGAGCTGCAAAGAAATATACATAAGGTTTATGAATGGACTTTTGCTAATAAATTACACTATAGTCTTAGTAAATGTAGCATGATGACTATATCCCGATTAAAATAGTTAATTATTTTTAATTACCAGATGACATGAGAAACATTAATGCGATGTACAGAAATTAAAGATCTTGGTGTCACATATAAAAATGTAATTTAGTTTGCCAAAACATATTAAAATCACAGTATCTGCAGCAAATAGAACTTTAAGATTTGTAAAAAGACAAATCGCAACTTTCACTAACATTAACGTAATAAAATTACTTTATTTTACATTAATACGGCCTAAACTTGAGTTTTCTTGTATAATTTGTTTCTCGAAATATATATGTACTTTAAAAGAAATAGAAAAAGTTCAAAACAATTTCCTCAGGTATTCATATTTTAAAAACCATAGTGTTTGGCATTATTAGAATATAATTAGATCAAGTGATCTTAGAGATGAATTTAATATGCTAACCCTGTGTTGAGTTTATTTTTCCTTATTTTGTAAAAAGGGCACAAATTACCCGCCTATTAAAAATACTGTCAATGTGAATTTTAAGAATTTTGTAAGTTGTCAGTAATAACGTCGAAAATATATATTGCACACCCTGGAACAAATGCGAAATGTATTTGCTATTACGTTTCTATACAAGATAATAAACAATAAAATAAATACCCCAGATATTCTAGCACTCATTCCTTTTAATGCACCATCTCGCACAAAGCGTATACACTATTAATGTTTAAAATTCCAAATCACCTTATAAGTACAGAAGATCCTTTGGTAAGCATGCTTAAATTGGCATATAACTTATTTTATCAACTTATCTTAAGTCATATTTGAAATACTTCTTAAATAATTATTGTGTTTTGTTTAATAATTCAATGTGTTGCTATTTAAACTCATACTGTTTATACTCTTTATAATATAGAATGCCTATTACTATAGATACCTAAAATTTTAAAATATAAATAAAACTGAAGCTAATATCACATAAATTATGAGCGACCGTCTTCCTTCGGAAAAAACTACTTCTTTGGCTAATACCGCAACAGGTATTGAATTATATCCAAAGGAAAGACGGGCAGAGATAGAAAATTAAATTTCAACACTATCTACCTTTGATTTTGCTCACTAAGGAGAACATCATTCTTGGACCGGTTTCATCCTTATTAGGACTCTTCAGCAAGAAATAGATAGGTTCTCAATTCCAGTCTCTAATGAAATTAACAAATGCTACACATTTCACCAGTATACAATAAAGTTAGTTAGGAAGAGAGTAAGAATTCAAGTAGTGAAATGGTGTCGCCATCTGTTCCTAGTAAGCAAAATCAAAGGCCGCTGTAGTACCCAGTTAGAAAACTAGGTGGAACCAAACGGCCAGGCTGGCAATTTGTTACCTAACATTTTGTTGTTACTAATAACTATATGTTATTTTTTTACCATGTAATAAGGCAATTTGCCTGGTTCAAATCAAATCAAATCAATAAATAAATTACTTTAAGCAGGTTGTGTTTCATAAACAACGGTGTCCCCAAAGAAAAAAGTCTAAGGGAGTTAAATCAGGTGATCTTGAGAACCATTTAATTGTTCCCCTTCTGCCAATCCAACTGTCTGGGAATCTCCCGTTTAACCACTGTTGGACGGGAAGAAAAAATGAGGTGTAGCATCGTCCTGCTAAAAATGTAACAGATTCTTCTGTAAACCTAAATTACTTTCTGCATCAGTTTGAGTTTCTAGCTCGTGAGTTTTAGGAGGATCAATAGTATCTTTAAGCATATTAAGGTACAGATCGCATGTCAAGTTTCCTTAAATAGATAAAGGACATCAAACATTAACTATTTGCGGACGTTGTGTATGCCCTTCTCGAATTATATGTGGGTATTCATCACTACAGTACCGAAAATTTTGTTTATTAACATTGTCATTAAGAAAAAATGAAGATTCATCGCTGAAACAGCTATTCAGCAGAAGATTATGGTTGCCGTTGACTTGATCAGACATGATTTCACAAAACCCTATTCTTCTATCAAAACGGCCAAAATGATCAAAATTTGCTAAACAATTATTTTACTTGACAAAAAGCCGCTATTTTAAGATTTAAACAAATATAAATAGTAAAAAAGGCAGGCTTTCTGTGTAATTTCAAAGATAAGAATTAAAAAAAAAAAACACCATTTGATAAATGCAGTCTAATTGCCATCGAAATTTTACTATTAGATTACGATGTTGCTAGGTACACGCTAAAGTGTACACAAATCAAAAAATTATATACACGCGAAACCTCATATTGTTGTGGTGGGAGGTGCTTGTGTGAATGCGTCTTGTTTGTTTTCATTTACGCCGTGACTAGCATAGTAATATTTTATAAACCTTAGGAGCAAATTTCACATACATGAACAAATAATAATAATGCCGTGACAACAAGAAAACGAAGCAACAACTTTTCGTAGGGTAGCGGCTTCGCCGCCACAAAAAATTTTTAATTCATACCCTAGCTACGAACGGCGTAAACACCAACGTCCTGCACACAGCTCACCTACTCTGTCAAGACGTTTCGCGTGTATATAAATTTTTGAATTGCGTACAAGTTAGCGTGTACCTAGACACTGTGATTAGATTACCCTTAAATGCAAAAGTTTGGTGTAACCTAATCTTCTAACTATTTCTGCTAAAATACAATACAATACAATACAATACAATAATTATTATTGGTCGTGTTCATCATCGTCAAACATGTATTGCTGAGTAAGCGGTGACGATGAACTGTCAACTGCTACGGCGCTTTTGGATAATCATAAAAGTACTAATATGTTTGCTTTTATGCTTTAAAAGTATAAAATTGATTTGACAAATCTGTTTTTTGGCATTTTGTTAGGTTATGTGTTTATTTATTTATATTTTTAATACTTATTATTTAGGATTTTACTGTAATAGAGTTGGTTCGTTAAGTTGTAGTTTAATACAACATATTATTTATGAAGTATGGATGTACTGTTTGAAGAAAATAAAATTAATTCAAGACGTAGATACCTACATGTACGCTTAAATTATTTAATTTGGACGTTAATGGGATTTCCACCTTTAAGGAATATGGATAATATAACATAAATACATAGTTTTATCACAGAGTTATTATTCAAAGCAGATAAAAGTTTTCTTCCATGTACCTACCGATGTTTTTTTCATGTGATGTATATAGGGTATTTAAAAATAAATAAAATAATAGAAGTAAAAAATTTTATTTTTTAAATTATTACCCACATTCATTTGAAATATGTTTAAACATGAAATATAATAACAAAATAAATTAAATATAAGTCGATCTATATGACATCATTAAATTTGTATAAATAAAAATTTCCCTGGTATATTTCGTCATGTTTTTATTTTCTATTGTTTAAGCACAGCACTACATATGTTTCGGAAATATTTCCATATTCGGGTGCAGCAAAATTTAATAAAACATGGGGGACGATTTTTATTAAATTGATGATCACTTTAATTTATCAATGCAGACCAGACAGTTGATGAAATACAATAAATATCATTCTCATTCCACTCTTCAAAATATGATCTAGTTACATAAGTTTTTATTTGTGTGTGTTAAAAAAATTTATTTTACCTGTATTAAAATTACTGCTACAAACTCTTTGATTCATTAGTCATGTGGAATTCAAGATCCAGGGATCATGACTTTACGACCCAAGATAATAAAATTTGTAGGATTTTTGCCATAAAATTATCAAAATCACTTATAGAAGGGTAGGGTAAACTGTCCCACAGTGAACCACGGTACACAGGGAATCATTCGTCATAATGGCGAACAAATCAGTTTTAAAAATGAACGCAAGGGGGCATTTGAAGCCATATGTTAGCTTTCATTTGACCAGTCAGTCGGGAGCAGTGTTGCCAGTCTAGTACAATTGTACTAGATCTAGTACATTATCTGAGAATCTGGTACTCTAGTACACTCGAAACAAAATCTAGTACTTTTTTCAGTGTATGTTTCCATTTGAAGTGTAAAATATATTGGTCAAAAATTGCAAAAGAAATTAAAATAGTTGATAAAAATTACTTCAGAGATAAAATAGTAGACACTTATCGAGAGATCAAATATTGTTCAAAAATGGCTTGAGAGGTAAAAAAGGGTGTTAAAAATTGGTCGAAGTATAAAATAGTATAAGAA